GTAAGTGCGACTGCCGGTAGTAGTACAGTCTAGTAGCACAGAGTCTGGAATTGTGCCCGGTATATGGCAATAGGCTCACCCCCTATTACATGGGACTCATAACAGAAATAGTGAAAAGTGGGTGTAACATTGTACAGTAGTATAATGTGCACCTCTGCCTACCCCTTCGGGGATAAAAGGCGTGATGTTATGTTATAGCTTGAAATAGCCTGATTTGCTTTACCTCAAGCTTTGACATACTATAGACCCAATGCTCTCACTACCGTACTTATCATCAATAATTAAATTTGTATGATCGTGCATAAAGTGATCATATACAATTTAATGTAATTTTATGAAAATATCTACTTATATTCATATTAGTTTTAAAACGTCTATTCCATAACACATAAAACAAACTAAATTAAAACTACAATTAAAAATCAAAACGACATCACATATTATTTTCAGAAAGGAACCAGACTCATAAATAATACCTGTTTCCAAAATGCTTGGTCACAGTTCCTTTAATCGACGCGTTAGATATTTTTATGTTATAATATCATACAAACGAGGGCGACATAACTCATACACTTTGCATGAACGCAAACCAAACTTCCTTTCCTTTTGTTCCAAATATAATTTACAAGACTGAAATGGTTTGGAAAGAATTATGTGGATGTAAAAGTGACATTAATGTGCGTCCGAATAGTCGCGTTAATTAACTAAATAGTTCATTTATACGTCGCTACGACGAGGTACAAATCTGTAACAATCACTGCACGACACGTTAATGGCCTATTAATTATTTATATACGAAACATCTTCATAATTTACATCCCTACGCAGATTGCGGTGGACGTAAAGTATCCCGAAATTAAATCTATAAGGCCATAACATAATTCAAACATTGCATAATTTCTTGTGAATTATAGTGTCAGGTTTTATTCAAATATTTATTATATAAACGCATTCAATTTACCTAATATATTTATGTACATTAACGATGTAATGATTATTGTACACAGCCATGCCGAAATTTATTAAATTAAAAACGAGTCGTTATCAAAAATTAAATTTAAAAGAACGTAACAAAAAGTCGGCAGTGAAAATGTCTGGACAGATCGCTTAATAAGGGCCCGTAACGAAACAGGGAGTAATCAAAAACAAGTGAAGTGCTGTTAGTGCTCATAAAAAGCTTTTTAAAGGGTCCCAGGCTTCATAACTGACAACCGCTTAAAGGCCAAACATTTCACAATTGCTTCCATTTCAAGCAGTTATACAGATTTCATACGTTGCGACATTACACAGATATTATTTAGCATTGTTGCATGCACAACTCTTTTAATCATAACGATGTAAGTGAAACTAATATTTAAGGTATACTCGTATTTTGGATGGTGTAAAGTTTAAATGTTAACTCACTTTTAATGCATACATATTACATACGCAGTACAACCAACGTGTACAAAGACAGTTGTAACTTGTAACCGTGTACGCGTATAATCCTCCCGCACCGCTTTCTACTAAAACGTGTCCATTGTATTCCAATTAATCTATTAGCCGACTAATAAACCCGGATCGATCTACATAAACGAGATTTAAAATTCTTTCTAATTTATTCCACGTCTCAGTCAGATCCCTCGGATAAAACCAGAAGATTTATAGAGAAAATTTCATTGGGAATTTATTTTTAAAACGTAATTTCATGACAGCTGCGAAAAATTATCACGTAATTAAAAAGGATTTCCAAATGGGAACAAAAAGAGGAAGTTCGTCCCATTATTTGGACCATTGGTCTACCTATATATGAAGTCTATATTAATGTATTTATAGAAGTGTATTGTATTGTCCTCGTATTGTATTGTGTTGCTCGCAGTGTTGTGTGTTGGTGAAACTACACAATACAATTATACAAGCCCCAGATGGCCCATCATTCTATTAGATACAAACGAGACTCGGCTATTAATGCTGTCGCTAGTCATGTTAATAGGATACAGCTTAACTGCTCGTATAACTTCATCTGTTATTGATTTGTAAGGACGTGCACGTTAGTGGCCAATAATTTTCCCCATACAAACTAAGTGCCATAAAATTTTACTGCTATACACCACCATATTTAATTTGTGTACTTCGTGTTTTCTTGATTCGGACTCGCTACTCGGTACGAAGCACTGCCAATCGCTGACGTACCCAATTATTTTGAGAAATAGTGTAGAGGTAACCTCAGAATCTTGACAGAGAAATATGATAGCACCAAAGAAATCTTTGAAAAATGATAAAAACGCTAAGAAATAAAAATGTACAAATAAGTGGTAGGAAACATCAAGGGTCTGAAGGTCATCGTCGTGAAGATATTCGCACCCTCGTCAGGAAATATAACAAGATCATGTTTTATGAGCTTGTTTATCCGAAATGCTATATACATTATATATAGTTGTCATTTGTATATAGCGTATCAATAGGCCAGAGTCACAATGACACCAGAAAAGATATTTGCTATCAATTGTAGCCTTAGGCGACGATTGGTTTAGTACTCATAAAATCGAGTTGTATTTTTAGTAAATTTTGATCGATAACATCCTCGTCTTTAGTATAATTATGTCAAATATCTGAATAGAAAGTAATAAGTATGTTGAGATTAACTCGTCGAGTACCGTATTTATAGACACAATTAAAGAACAATAGGTTGCGGTCACCGGTGACCGCTTGGTGTTTGACAGTTTAAACCATAATATGTCAACACATATTATGGTTTAATCTCAACATACTCGACATTCGTCTTCGTTCTGACGTGTGTTGATCAACATCAACACACGTCAGAACAATCGCCTCGAGTATGGGACGGGTACTCCACGCGTAATTGATTCAAGGTTTGAAAGCCTCTAAAGTGACCTCTGAAAATCAAAGGGAGTTAAACTGAGTTTAGGAGTTGAACTGAGAGATCTTTAATTTGCATTCCATCAACGTCAGACCGCAGTACAAGCTGAGGGAAGTTTAAATAATGGACCACCGAGTTTCTCTTGAAATGGTGTGAGTTTTTAACTAAAGATCGTACTTAAATGACTGTATTGTTGGTTGGGTGGCTGAATTGTGCGACTTCTAAGCAAAATATCATGGAATAGTCTGTGTGTGGCTTGTCGGCTTTCAACGAAATTGCAGGATGAACAGTAGATATTACGTAGATAGCATGTGTATGCACCTCAACCTATTTTTCCGAGGAATAAAAAAGCTTCATTTGATATTACATGAAATATAAGGAAACTGAATGCATAACTCAACATAAGTGTTCCAAAACATCAAGTAAATGATCAAAAACAACGGTGTGGGAGTCGTACACTTAGTTACGCATGTCTCGGTAATGTTTGGCAATAAATTGAGAAGAACAAACAAGCACCTTATCTTATCCGTACCGGTGGGAATGTTGGCCGCAGTCAAAGCCTATCAAATATCCTTTCACAGTTTCCGACCCATTTAATCGACAAATACTGTAACATGTTATGCCATTACACGGAACATTTATCTCCTTGGAATTTTTGGTTTAAGAAGCTTTGAATCTTGTTTTCTTTTACCGTTTACCAAAATGCCATTACAGATAATTATTGAGAACGCTTCTGATAAGTGTATTGTTCTTCCTATATTATATGTACACTAGCTTTTACCCGCGGCTTCGCTCGCGTCACAAAAGGATAAAAAGTAACCTGTGACATAATAATATACCAATGCACGCAGCGCCATCTATACCAATACTTTTGTTTTCCCTCGGGAATATCAATTTTTCCGGGATAAAAAGTACCCTATTATTTAATCCGCACTTCTAACTTTACGTCTGCAAAAATTCAAAGCAATCGATTTAGTAGTTACGGCGTGAAAGCGGAACAAACAAACAAACAAACTCACTTTCCGATTTATAATATTAAGTAAGGATATTTAAACTAAAAATTACAGCTATAAAGTTTAGCTCTGGCCTCACAGCTCCAGTAACTCTTTTCGTGCATTTAGCACAACACTCGTTAATTGAATTACTGAGTCCTCCTCATGTCATTTGGTTTTTGAATCTTTGTCAGCTGTTTGACTCTGGTTTTAATATTTCACTTAATAAGAACTTTTTATAAACTTCTTCGAATGAACGGAAATCTTCTTCGTAATTAAGTGCCGAATGTAAAAAGTTTAAGTACCTTTTCTGGTGCTGAGACATAAATCAAACCGATTTCTGACAATTTAATTATTGTCATCTTTGACTTAATTCATCATAAATGAACTTATTATCGTCAATTAATGATTAAAAGAATACTTTTTTATATAATTTCGACATTGAGGCTAATATAAGATTTTATAAAGAACGAATTTATATTGAGGCCAAAAACTTCTACGTTTTTTGTTTTATTAATGGACTGATTTCAAATAATTATTTTCTCTAAATCTAAAACATCAAAAAATACTTTTTATACAACCCTAGAGGGAGTCATACTTTTTTACAACTTTGACAATGAATTTACTGTTTTACAACACGTATAGATTTATGTAAAAACTATGTGGGATAGGTACTCATAAAATTAAAGTTTTATTTTTTTAAAGTTATGGTAACTTTCGTATATAAGTTATAATGATATACCTAAAGCGTTCAGTTAAGTGCTTTCATTGTAAAATTTTATTTGTAGGCAACCTATATAGTGTACCTAATTTGAGTTTGTAGTGTATCTGTCTATGAAGAGAGTTAATTGTCGTCGTCGTATATACCAATTAATCAATTAATCACTACTAGGAAATAACAAAACAAAGACTCAAGTTTGTAAAATGGTGATCCTCCAGACACAATGCCCAACGGTCTTCTGTTTCTATGTCTAATTATTTTTTTCCTATTTTAATTTTTTAAGGTTAATTTTTTTTTACCTGCCAAAATAAAATCGGTTCTGATAAAAAGTGGTTGACAAGTGATGTGTGTCCGGACATGAGAGAGCGTGACGGCGTAAGTGCGGAGCGGCGGTGATGCGTGCGGCGCATGATGCGCGCGCGCATTGATGGAAGAGTCATGGTCGTCGGGCGGCGCGCCGCTGCTGCGCACGAGGTCGCTGCCGCTGGTGTTGGAGGCGGCGAGCGGCGCTGCGCCCACGCGACAGGCCAAACTCGACCCGCGCCAGCTTCTCACGCTCACACGCCACTACTACCCCGAGGGTGGGTGGGGCTGGGGCGTGGCCGCCGCTGCCACTCTCGCGCAGATTCTCGCACACGGACTGCACCAGGCCTCCGCTGTACTCGCCGTCGAGACCGTCAAACGATTTGGTCCGGAGACTCGCATGCAAGCAGGTACAAAACAATGCGGCAATGTGATGGCATTTATTTTTATAATGATGTCTTTTATGTGGTATATTATTTGTTTAATTATTATACATCGCTCCTTAAATTCAGATAGAATAACTAAAACGTTCCGATATAATCTAAATATAATCTAATACTTCAACATTTCATAATACCTGATAGAAATTCATCCACATGCCGTACATATAACATTTTATCCCTCGACCCTTGAAATGGCAAGAGACCATAAAATCCCGTGTAGCAGAAATAAATATGTTACCTCAGCCTTTAACTCCGTGGATATCTGTTACAAATAAAATAAATCATTGTACGTCATATTTCTGGTCCAATGAAATATCGGAAAGGTCAAGATGTTAACGAGGGTCGTGTGAGAAAATAATAGACGGATTGTTTTCCTTTCCATATTTTTATATACGACTCTTTTCTGGATTACTGTAACGCATCTTGATTTATTAAATTAGCATTCTGATAACGCTATGTTCTTTATTATTTTGTTATTCAACCGCCATAGCATAAATATTCCTGTAGGCAAACTTTGATAAGAAAAGACATTCGCATGATCGATATGCATTGTCTTTTGTTAAGCTTTTTCTATACATAAGCGAACAAATAATTTTAACAGAAAATCATCCGATTTGTTTGTAATCTTACTATCCGTATTGTTGTCAATCGCTATCAATTATAATTGAGCTAAATTTACGAATAATATAAATAGGTAATCGAATAACAATTTTATTCTTATCCAAATATTACCATAATTTTATTTGTAGTAACTGTTGCGTCAGACTCATCAGTAAGGATCCCGTCGAGACAGAACGTCCACTCACTTTTATGTAGACATATCTCATTACATTGCTGTATAAGTTTGTTTGTCCACGCCGAAATATATAATAAAATGACCGTATGTTAATATCTTACAATGACAATATCTCCTAACATAACAAATAACTTATTTATCAACACTGGATTACTCGAGAAGAAGTTTTCTAGTACCTATGTGGGTACGTAGTTAATACTGTTCATATTTTCAATGTATTTGATCTTGAAAAATGTCTGTGAATATTAATTTCCCCTGTTGCTTAGTTAGCAACAATTTTTAATTACATTCATGTGTATCAGTTTTTGTTGGATCGATTTTGGAGGCATCCAATTTTCTCCAGTTTGCATGTTGAGGCTGCAAACTCGTTATTCGCTAGGAATAGTTTGCATACACAAAGTAGCGACCGATATTTCCAAAGCTTTAGACCACAATATCATACATGCCCAAATTCTGTATTATTAATACTATGTTAACCATCATCATCAACATCCTTTGACGGAAGAACAAGCCACTGAGACTCGTCTACATAAGAGGGTTTGGGATAATTTCTATACCCTTCGCAAGGTTAATCGTTATTTGTCCGCTTCTACTTTCTTTAATGTTTTGTGTCATTGTTTACAGTCTGAAGGGGTTTACCTTACGATCCTTCTCTTTTCCAAATATTTACAGTTCATTGTGAGCAAGAAAAACTTTACCCAATTTCGAGACTTCGTTGTGATTGATCACAGCTACGTCTGTGTAGGTAATGTTATTTGTTAAGAGAATGTGTATTTCGGATATTTAGATAGGTACAGAACCCATAATCTTATAAGTAATAACACTCAGTATATTTAATTCGGAAAATATTTGCTCAATACCTATAACAAAAATTGTTCTTCATACATTGTATTGTAAGTGAGTTTTTATATGTTTAAGTAATGCTGTCCCACCCTTTTTCGAGATGTAATTCGCTACATAGTTCAGTGCTCCTTGATCTGTAGACGCTTTTACGATTTCCCACGTTCAAATATTTTTTCTTTACGCATGTAAATACACTCGAGTGAATCACTACGCTCCTCAAACTTTGACAACACGCAGATCATCTTACTTGGGAGAAAAATGACAACATTTTTCATAAGCTCCGACTTTGTTATCGTTATTTGTTATCTAGAGGTACGTAAGCAGTTAATGTCACAAACGGATTGAAACGTATCACGCAAACTGAATAAAAATGCAGATGCTTCTTCGCATTTATCTAATTCATCCATATATGAGAGGATTCACTCTTTTGAGAGACAGAGAGTCTTCTGAGAAATGTAAGTGACTTTATATTAAATCTTAAAGTAAAATGACGTACCTACAAGTAAATCTTTAGAAGTATTTCTGTCGACAAATTTTGCGATCGTAGCAGGATAAATGCATCACACTGTCTAGAACATTGCTGCATTTTCGTACACAAAGCACCGCTAATTAGTTAGCGGCGCTACACATCGACACAACTATCATTTACACAATATACATGTGTGGGTAATTTCATATCAATAGATATGTATAGAAACATTCGTCCTATCACACACATCTTGGTATTTAAAAATCATTTTTGTGTCGGTATAACGCAATAAATTTAGTAAATAAGTTTAAATAAAAACGAGGGTAAAGATAAAATTACTCATAACAAACTTTGAATAAATCGAAATCAAAAATAATGAACGATCGAGCTATACAATACCCATATAAATATAGTGCTTTCTCATTGTAATTTTATGTTACTGAATGATATAAAATATTTCGATGATCTCATCTACAGCGCGCTTGGCGCAATGGTTATCGCCTCCAATTGTCAAGTAAAGTGCCGCCGGATCGATTCCAACATTCACATGTTGTTTTAGAATTAATTTATCAAATATTTGAAATTTGAAATTAGAAACAATTAAATCTTTTCTTTTTTTTTCCTTTCCTATTGTTCTAAATCTTATGTTAATTTTAATAGTAAATACTTTAGATTTATTTATACCTATAATATCTTTTATTTATATTTTAGTTCTAGTTATTTATTATTTTTAGAATAATCTCATTTGCTTCATGCATTTCAACCAACTTAAATAAGATAAAAAAGTAAAAAAGTAATTAACTGTGATTTCTTAATGGTTCGATACCTGAGTATATTTGCAATGTTTGTGGCGACCATAGAAATCTCGAGTCATTTTATTTTACACGCTTATGAAGTAACTACCGACTATTTAAAACATGTTTTTCAAATCACCCGACTTACAAAATAATTGCGTTCTTAGTTGTCAATTTATGAGGATTTCATAGTTTATTGCTACACTACTTATATTCGTGTGCAAAGTTATTTTTATTTTTACAAGATGTTCCAACACCTATCAACATTTAAAAAGGCTGAAACCATTGTTTTGCATGAGCAAAACATAACTAACAATAACTGAAATAGCAAGGCGTTTAATGATATCGGTGAGTAAATAAGATACTACGTTGATATTCTAAATAATATTTATTTCATTTTGTAACTCGACACACCTATCAATTTTTGCACTAGAATAAAAAATTATTGCAACTTATTATGAAGTTCAATATTATAAAGATATATTAATAATTTATTATTAATTGTATTGTAACTTGACTTGTTTTTGTTAGGAGTGTTTCTTTAAAACATATCTGGTTAGGGATTTTTATTCCTTACGCCACTACTTAATTATAAATTATTATTCTAACATTGTGTTTACTTATATTTATTATTATTTTTAAGTAACTTTAATTCCTGTAAAGTATTTCCTGGTATTTTAAATACTTATTTGTTTGGTATCAACAGAGGAGATCCATGCAGTTATGGGTGCACAGATATGCGGAGACCGGTGACGTTAAACATCGTCGACGTGGGCCTAAACCAAAGGCAAATTCATCGGCTCGGCACTACGACATCGTAGCCAGGCACATGGCTGATCCGTTCCTGCCAACCCGCACTACAGCGACAGCACTGAATGTTTTAATACAAACTGTACGGAGACACCTGCATTCTGGTTTAAGGTGCAGGAAGCCAGAGAAGAAAATATTGTTATCTGTGGTTCACCAGCAAAAGCGCTAAGAATTTGCTAAGGACTTTATTAATTTTGATTGGGCGAACAGTGTAATCATATTGAGCGACGAAAAGACTTTCAAGTCGGATAAGGATGGGCGTAAAATATTGTGAAGAAAATGGAGAAAGGTATACGAATTGCAACCTTCTGCCTTGTAGGATCAGTGATTGTATTGATTTCGGAATCAATTATTGAGCCTGTCAAACTCTGCCTTTATTAAAATTAACATAAAATAATGTTTAATTTTTTTAAGAATATTAAAATGCTGTCTAGAACATACGGTGAAGTGATGTTATTGTTTTGTGGTTAGAAATTGTCATAATTTCTTTCTATTCAACATGTTTATTCACTTCACTTTAATTTTTCATTAACAAATTTATTTAACTGCTTTCGAACTTGATTGACATATTATATTTACGCCCATCTTCAATTAATTTAAAGTTTCCCTGATTCTAAAGGTCATGAAAGTTAAAATCGTTCCATAGCATTCGTCACATTCTTTTTACTATCATACAGCCCACTGAATATTGAACCTTATAACAACCGTCGTAAAATAGATAATTAATGGAAGTTCAAACGACAAAAAGTCGCCCATTTCAAGAAATATTATGTTGACAGTGTAATTTTTTACATATTTTACTTGTTTATTAAATTATAAAACAAGAATGTTGTATTTGTTTATTACTTAATAAAAAATGTTGCTGCCATCGTATTACCGCTGTACCGCATGATATTTCCCGATTCGACTATGAGGTTTATTGTCATATCTATTAATTATGATTTAAAGAACTTTAAACTTAACATGTGGTATATAATTAATTATTAGATATAAATATTGAATATAAAACAACATATTTGTATAATAAATAAATTAATTGTAATAAAAAATAGTATTGTTTTATTTACCAGCTCATTTGCTTCTTTTATAGCCTGATATTTATATTTTATGACAAAAAACAAAAAAAAAATTAAGAAAAATAACAAGGTAAAATAAAATTAACTTTTAGCTGGAATAGAACCCACATCATTGATCCTTGAAAGACGATAAAAGCGTGCTCATTAACCAATCGACCACGAGCACTACGATAATGACA